CTACAGCCAAACCCTAACAATAGCTATGCCTATCTTAAAGGGGCACTATAGTCACCAGAACAACTACAGCTTATTGAATTTGTTCTGGTGAGTAGAATCATCACCTTCAGGCTTTTTGCTGTAAACGCTGTCTTTTCAGAGAAAATGCAGTGTTTACATTACAGCCTAGTGATAACTTCACTGGACACTCCTCAGATGGCTGTTAGAGATCCTTCCTGGGTCATGGCTGCCTAAAATGCATCCAAACATTCACTGTCTCCTCCCTCTGCATGCAGACACTGAACTTTCCTCATAGAGATTCATTGATTCAATGCATCTCTATAAGGAGATGCTGATTGGCCAGGGCTGTGTTTGAATAATGCTGGCTCTGCCCCGATCTGCCTCCTTGTCAGTCTCAGCCAATCCTATGGGGAAGCATTGTGATTGGATCAGACTACCACTTCTGATGATGTCAGCAGGCAGTGGGCAGGTCTAAAGGAAACAGGGACAAAGCCAGCAGCTCCTGACTTTAATACAGTAAGATTTTGCTAGATTTATGGAGGCACGAGTGGCCCAGGTGGGCTAGATGGTGGTTTTAACACTTTAGGTTCAGGAATACATGTTTGTGTTCCTGACCCTATAGTGGTCCTTTAATTCTCAAAAATATGCACTCTTTTTAAAGAGCCTGGAACTCCCCCATACCAAATTAAATAAACTAAAATTTTAGGACAAAAGTGCACATTTGGAAAAATAACTGACCATTTTTAATTTTTTTTTTTTACTATTTTGGCAATACATTTTCAATTCCCTGTGTAGCGTATAAACATGGTAGTAAGCTGATGTTGCTGGGTTTAATAAAACTCAGAGCCCTTACTATATTCTCCATACTCCCCGGCTCCCTGAACGCATCAACTGGGAAAAGGGAGGAGTTTGCCATTTACAGTTTCTCTGCAAAGATGCAGATTTAAAGAATGGATCCGCAGTGTGAAAAACTGCCCGAACAAAGTGAAAGGTAAGCTGGACATAAAGGTTTACATGGTGGAAAAGGGGTTACTTCCAATTTCCAAAGAAATCTATAGAGAAGCGTTTCCCAGTAGGGGTTCCGCAAGAACACAAATGGGGTTCCGCCAAAATTTCTGAAAGAAAATGGCCGCGGGCAGCGATCTCCCTGCTCAGCTCCCTCATATGCACAGCAGTGATGCTGGAGCCGGAATATGAGGCATGCAAGGGAGATCACTGCTCCCTCGCCACCCGCACACCAGCCGCTCAGCAGCCCCACTGGACCCTAGGGACTGCACGCCAGTTGCTCAGCAGCCCCACTGGACCTCAGAGACTGCACACCCAGCCCAGCAGCCCCACTGGACCACAGGGACATAGAGACTCCATGCCACGAATCGGAGTGTGTGTGTGTGCGTGTGTATATGAGTGTGTTTGTATGTGCCTATGTGTGTTTTATCTGAGTGTGTCAGTGTGTATCTGAGTGTGTATGTGCCAGTGTGTGTATATGTCACTGTGTGTATTTGTGAGTCAGGATGTGTGTGTGTATCTGTGTGTTAAAGTGTGTGTGTCTGTGTGTATCTGTGTAGCACTATGTGTGTATATGTGTGTCAGATACACACACATACACACACTACCACATACAAACACAGATACACACACTTTGACACACAGACACATACAAACACAGATACACACACACAAACTGTGTGTCAAGGTGTGTGTATCTGTGTGTGTATCTGTATCTGTGTGTCAGATACATATGCACACACACACACACACACATATATATATATATATACAAATAAACGGCACAATTTATATATTTTTTTTTACCTAGATCTTTTACAATTTTCTTTTGTAGTAATCCTTCACTATACCAGTTCTTCTGTATTCACAGACCTCAAATGCTCGAATCAAAACTGCACAAAATAAAAATGTGTCTGCTAATTATGTGATTTGAGTCCTGCAGAGATTCTCCATATGGTTTAATAAAAGCTGACAATATTTGTATTTCTGTGACAGTGTTTTCTAAACAGAGTTCTCCTTGGCAGTGTATAGCTTTCTGCAAGTCACTTAAAAGTGAAATTGTCACTTCTTTGGAAATTACAAAGATGAATAAAACATTGTAAAAATCATCCATAACTTGTATTAATCTTTTTTTATGTGACGCTCTATTTCGTTTAAATTTACATTAAAGATTTAGCAAATGACATAACAATCCAGTTCAGTCTGGGCACAGGCAGGGCACACAATGCAAATGAGTAAGACAAACAAAAAAAAGGTCTCCTCTTCTCTGCCTTCCTTTCTCCTTGCTGACTGCCAGGTGCAAAGCACAGCGTTTATAACAATGATTGACAGAAAACCAATATGGAGACACCCAGCTCCTGGATAGTGGTAAATACAGCATTATGTATTTCTATATTTAACTTTATTATCATACCTTAAAAAAAAACAACACACCACCACCACCGCCACATATCTGTTTAATGAAAGGGATAACTAAACATAATATTAAATGTCCTTGGATGTGACAGTTACCTGTTTCATCAGCCATGCCTGCTAAAATGATAAGTTTAAAGATTGATAATCATTAATACTGCAACACTATAATGGTTCTGCGCTCATACACATGCAAAATATTACTGCAATGTTTATTTTAGTAAGCAGCAACAATGGCTTACAGAGATGAATCCTATGTACTGTAACAGCAGACGCCTCGAGCTATGGCGCACAACAATGTTTCACGACATGGATACAGACAGTGAGACATGGCGGTTAACGTTACAAATTGTTTTGCCAAAAAAAAAAAAAGTATTCTCTCCTTAGCAAGACTCTCTGAGCCAGAGAGTAATATATTATTAGTAGTCAGATGTTAGGAGAGTGAGCAAAGGACCAAATATAGTCTCATGATATTTTTTTTTTACCATGTGTTAGCAGACATTAGCCTCATGCTGTGCAAACTGCTCTAAATACTTTTATTTCTACTGTAGGTGATACAATAGCATTTTCTACACAGCCAACAGAAGATATATAATTCAGATAAAATTGTATAAACATGAAAAAGGAAAAATAGAGTCTAGAATTGATCCATCGTGGTCTTATATGGTATAGAAATGTAAGACAGACAACCCAGTTTATTTTAGGCAGTATACAAGTTGTAACACATACATTATGCCTGCAAATACATAGATTATAATTATTATTTATAAAGTGCCAACAACTTCCGCAGCGCTGTACAATAGGTGGACTATAGATCAAATTGTGTAATGACCTGACAAATGCTTTCTCTGCTGCACAATTCCATTTAATGCTAATAACATGAAAAAATAAATATTAAAACCTTCTGGACTGGATATGCATGGATCCATGTGTATACTATCGAACAAAATGACTTTGTTGACTTTTCATTTTATTCAAAACTTTCTGTCTGCATTTTGGTTGCTAGAAATGGTTCAGAGCCGTATCGTGGTGATTCCTTGGCAACATGGTTTTATCTATACCATGAGGTTGGTTTACATCGTACTATTTATATACTATTTATTTTCCATGCTACATTATCAAAATAAAGAACATTAAGATAATGTATTCTTCGTTTAGAGACTTGGTGGGAATGCACAGCTGGTTAGAGTAATGATAACAAAGGATATTGAGCTGTGACAAGTAACACCAAATGAACAGAATACAAGCTGACAGCAAGTGTTCACACAACAGACCCTTTCTGGGGTTATTCATTAACCCCTTAAGGACCAAACTTCTGGAATTAAAGGGAATCATGACATGTCACGTGTCCTTAAGGGGTTAACAGGGGAACTGCAAATTTAAGGACGTAACAGTCAAACTTGGAAAACTCTCAAAATGTTCGACCTAAAATTTGCAATTCTCTATTAATTCTCTCCAGTTCACAATTTAATGAAAAAGTCCTATCAATGTTTATACCAAAAGCTCACTCTTTCGAATTCCCTCTGGCAATTTGTGTTGCTTTGTTATTTTGGCATTCTGCAATTCTGTCATTCCGACAAAACGGTTGATGTGGAAACTGCCATTGGGACACCATGACTGGAGCAGTGAATATTCTCAAATTATCTGGGTTTTTACCAACACGGCAGGTACACCAACCCTCCTGAGGTAAAGCTTCACACTCTGATGTGTGCAGAGAGGTTTAGTCTACAACTAGGCTTTAGGTGTTCCCCAAAGAGGGACCTGATGCTCCTTCTCTGAGAATTGTGGAAGGAAGAATTAATCACAAAAGAGAATAATCAATTCCCTCGAAATTACACAATTGAATAAATTAATGAAACTCAACTGGAATGCACTTTAAAAAGAAAATGGAACAACACATAGGCAGAGGTTAACAGATTAGCATTTGACATAATAAAAAAAGCACATTGGTTAAAAATTCAAGGTCAGTTATGTTTACAGTTTGTCTGTTGACCTAAAACTTGAAACTCACGTCGTATTCCTGCCAATTCACATTTTAGAGAATAACCTTGTCAGGGCTTATTTACCAATCCAAAAAGAATTGATTAGAGAAAAGGACGTTTTCAGGCCACAGTAGCAAATAAATGCAATAACTGCACTGAAGAGGTCCCCCGGAAAGGCTAGAACAGTCTATTTGCCATTTCTCCCGTAATGCTCAATATTGTAAATAAAATCCTTAAAAAGATGAGAACGTATACGCAGGATTTTTTTTCTAGAATTTAAGTGGTTAAGATGATGCGTCTCCTCATCCATCCCAGGTCAGTGAGAGAGACTCTCCTCTCTGGGAGAGGATTGTAATTTCGAGCATAGCTGAGACTAGGATCTGAGAGACTGGAATACAAACAGCACTCTGTTAGACCATGATTAAAACCCAAGTACTCATTTTGTGCTTGGATCAGTTAGTCTGTATTACACAGAATACTAATGGTTTGGGGGTGGTGGGGGTGTATATGTATATAACATTCCCTTAGCATGTTACTTAGAGTGAATGCATCCAATTGTAAAATATACATATTGAATTCATCTAACATTCTATCCTGAATTTTATAATCTTAGTTGATTAGCCTTTAATGGCAATACATCTGAACTTATGTGCAAGGGAGGCATTTTCCTCTTTCATAGATATCCTTTTAATAATAATTAAAAAAAAATATATATATAATGGGTTAATGTTGAGTTGTTAATGGTTAATATGTGATACAAACAAAACCATAGCACCACCCTTGTCCATCCAGACATGCCCAGAGCAAATTAGAGGCCTGGCTAGGTCACAATGTTCTGGGAACAGGTTGTGACAAGGTTGTTAAATAGAAACTGTAAACTAAAAAAAAAAAAATTGTAGGCCATAAAGACAATTGTCTCTCTCTCCTAGGTACTGCATTATGAACAAACGATACAATAGAGCGGGAATTAAATTAAGGATACTCCTGCAAGTACAGATAGTTTTATAATTTTCCATCCAAAACTTAAATGTAGGGAACGGGAGTTGAAAGGACAGCCAAAAACGCATATCCCCAGCCATTTTGTCAATCTTAAAGCTTGTCACTTCCGGGAAATGTCACAAATAAATAAAGTTTTAAGTGGGACACACCAAGAACCATAAATAGTTATGGAGCCAGAAGTGTTCTGGCGTTATCGCATTGTAAGTAGATAGTCCTACCGGGGGGCTGTTACCTGCCTCCACAACTACTATCAGAGAGCTAAGCAACGCAGTGA